GGGCAGAGGGTGGGCTTCCCAGGCAACGCTGCTATTCTCTTCTGGCGGGAGCCGAAGCAAAGGTTTAGGGATGGCCGGGGAGTGGGACTGGGGCCAGAAGGAGGGGGCATATGATAGCTCAGTCCATCCCTGTCCCCACCCCCACCCTGTGACCTAATGACCCACCCTGGGCCTCCCCCAGCTCTATGGCTACTGCTACCAGGACAGCGAAGACATCCCGGACACCCTGACCACCATCACAGAGCTGGGTGCCCCTGTGGAGATGATCCAGCTGCTGCAGACGTCTTGGGAGGACCGATTCCGAGTGAGCAGGAAGGGAGTCGGGCCCGGGGCTCCTTGCTGGGATGGTTCTCCCTTAGAAGGCCAGCCGTTCAGAGCAGCCCTGACTCCTCCTCAGCAGAGGGAGGGTAAGGGAGGGACAGAGCAAAGCTGACTCGGCGATCAGCCAAAGGGTTAAAAAAAGACATAGAGGACCCTGATGTTTTTTAAGCTCCTGCTACACACACACACATGTGCACGCACACACACACACACACACACACACAGACACCCACCACCTCACCACACACACGCTCTCACCTGGCTGCAGAAGGGCTAGTGCCTTAAGACTAGAAAAGACCTTAAAGGCCATCTTGACCCTCCCCCTTCTCTTTCCGTACACTAGACCACAGTCAAGATGCAACTTCAGGGAGGAGATCCATTTTCCCCAGACATCCCTGCTGTCCACTTCCCATTTATTCCATGTTACTTTCAGGGACAGGCAAGCCAAAGGTTAATAGAAAATCACTGGTTTGCTCTATAAGGCCCCTGGCCTCAGCCCTTAATAAGCACTGGGGCCTTTAAGAGAAAGGCCAGCCCCCCTGAGTTAAGTCTAAAGCCCCAAAGAAGGGAGCCCTGGAGTCCTGAGCTCCCTTCCCAGGAGAGAAGCAGTGAGCAGCCTTGTGTCTACCCCTCAGATCTGCCTGAGCCTGGGCCGCCTCCTCCACCATCTGGCCCATTCCCCACTGGGCTCCGTCACTCTGCTGGACTTCCGCCCCCGACAGTTTGTGCTGGTGGATGGGGAGTTGAAGGTGACGGATCTGGATGATGCACGTGTAGAAGAGACACCGTGTACAAGCAGCACTGACTGCATACTCGAGTTTCCAGCCAGGAACTTCACTTTGCCGTGCTCAGCCCAGGGCTGGTGCGAGGGCATGAATGAGAAGCGCAACCTCTACAATGCTTACAGGTGACCTCCACCCCCTACTCAGGAAGGCCAGCAAGGGAGAGTGGGCCTGGGAGGGCATGGCTGGGAGAGAGCTAACATGGGGTCCAGGAGGCTGCCAGAGCTGAAGGCTCAGGCTTGACCAATGGAGTAGCAGGGGCGGGGAAAGCCTTCTACCCAGTCAAGAATGGAACATTCAGGCTCCTGACGATCAGGCTAAAAATAGCCAGCTCCAAGGAGAATCTGGGTGGGGGGTGGCGGCTGGAGGCTTCTTAAAATAGTGTCAGACTCAGTCTAGGCCAGGCCAGTGACACTGGCCTGCCCTGTCCTTCCCTGGCCCTTCACCTTGGGAAGCTCCTCCCTGGATGCTAGCCATGGGTCTGCTCTGACACTGGTCAGTCAGCCAGAGGGCTTAGCAGCGGGGAACACAGACCTCAGATTTCAGTTTCACATAAAGTTAGTTGTAGCCTTAGTGTATGCCCAGACCCCACCCTGAGTCTGAGTAGACTCCATGTACACTCTGGGGTTCTGCCTAGTGGTAGACCTCAGGGATCAGGCTCCCTGGCCAGATTGGGGTTCTAGCCCAAGCTGACACAGAGAAAGGATGTGTCCCCAAAGGCTGGACCACTGAGCCCCCGGTTTCTCTCTGCCTCAGGTTTTTCTTCACATACCTCCTGCCCCACAGCGCCCCACCTTCACTACGGCCTCTTCTGGACAGCATTGTCAACGCCACAGGTGAGCTCTCTGAGGACCGTCTGCTTCCCATCACCCCGCCCCGCCCCCAGCAGATGTGGGGTCAAGAATGCCCCAGGACAGTGCATCGTCCAGAAACCATCATTTACCAAAGTGCTGTTCTGTGGCAAGCCCCCCTCTTCCCCCGCCCCAGTCCCTGGGTCGTCTGGGCCCAGGCTCCAGAAGGAGAGAGGGAAAGGCAACTGGCTGTCTGCCTAGGGGAGGAGTAGGAGCCCACGGCCCCTCTCATTGCCACACTGCACCCTGCAGGAGAGCTCACCTGGGGAGTGGACGAGACCCTGGCCCAGCTGGAGAAGGTACTGCACTTGTATCGTAGTGGGCAATATCTGCAGAACTCCACGGCAGGCAGCAGAGCAGGTGAGTGGCCCCAGCACGTCTCAGGGACTAGGGGGTAGGAAGCAGATGGGAGGGTGAGTGAGCCCCCTAACTGGGCTAAATGGCTCATCTTCCCTCTAAGGCTCACTTGGAGTGATGCAGAAACCATCGACTGTGTAGCCTTCACTTAGAGGTCTGATCTCTGGCTAAATATGACAACTATAATTTGACCTAAAAGTGGGAGTGGGCACTGACATCTCTTCTCTGGGTGGCTTCAAACCCCACTATGTACTAACTGTGACTCCGAGCAACTTAAACCTTGAGACTCACTTTCCTCATCTGTGAATTGGGTTCAATATTACCTGCCTCACATAATTCTTATGGGGATTAAATACCAAATGAAGTGTGTGAAAGCAGTTAACCCATTCCTATTCTATAGCTGGAACACAGCTTTTCCTTCTCTTTTCCTTACACTTGTGAGGCTAGGAGGGTGGCTAGAAGTGGAGGGGGGCTCCACACTGAAACCAGTCAAGAAGCCCAGGGGGAGAATTCTAGGCTGTGGTGCTTCTGCTCAGGCCCCAGGGTTTAGCGTGGTTGGCAGGGGCCGAGGGGTGGGCAGCCTCCTCTTTCAAGGAGCTATGGCCATTCTTAGGGGTGGGAGAGCCCTCGTTAGCCCTGTAAATAAAGTTTAACGAGGTGAACAATGGCTGGCTCTGTCCCTGAGGACGCAGTTTATGGGGCTGTAAATCACAGCCAGCCCTGGACTTTGGTCTAGTCCCTGGTAGGAGGAGGCAGGAGGGCGGGGTGACCAGAGGCCCAGGGCTTCTGCATTATCAGTCCAGAATGGGGCTCCCCAGGCAGCAGGAAAGATGGGTGAACAGGCAGTGTGTAGTTGAGCCCTTCCTGATCGAGATTTTGGAGGCTCTTTCTGTGTAATGGGGAGATCTCTCAGATTCTTCCTCCAGCCTCCTCCCCAAACTCTTAAGGCGTGGATTCCCAAAGGGCGATTTTTTAATTTATATTCATTCGCATGCCTCTTAACTTCAAAAATCCCTGACTAACCCCCATCTGAGAGATATGCCTAACCTCTCCCTCCAAGGCCAGGAGGAAGTGGGACCAAGGGGTGCTCTACCCTCTTGCTACTCAAGGTACGGTCGGCAGACCAGCAGCACCAGAAGCTGCTTAGAAATGCCCATTCCCAGGCCCCACCCCAGACGTTCTGAATCAGAATCTGCATTTTAACAAGATTCCGTGGAGATTCATAGGTACAGTGAAGTTCGAGAAGCCCACTTTAAATGTCCAAATTGTCCTAACCTCAGCAACCAGTCTGGACAGCCAGTGGCTCTGGGTATGCATTTATCCCACACATGTGCCTGCCATGTGTGTTGCCTGAGCCAGCTGCATGCCCTCAGATTTGGGAGATGTGTGTCTCCCAAAAACTAAATCAGCACTGTCTGTACTGAGGGATCAGCCCAGTTTTACTGCTTTCACTGCCTTCATCTCCGTGCTAGGGAGCTGGGCTGGTTTTCAGCTTTCTCAGAGGAAATGAGTCTTACGGCCCTTTTCAGAAAGCGGCCAAGACCTCACCCCTGGGCACACAGAGTTCTCAGCTGAGCTCCATCCCTGACCCATAGACTACCAGCGCCTCCCCGATAGCACCGTCCCCCAGGAAGACTACCGCTGCTGGCCGTCCTACCACCACGGAGGCTGCCTCCTTTCCGTGTTTAACCTGGCTGAGGCTGTGGACGTCTGTGAAAGCCATGCCCAGTGCCGGGCCTTTGTGGTCACCAACCAGACCACCTGGACAGGTGAGCCAGTGGGAAAGGACATCCTAAGGGAGGTGACTGGACTTCCCTGGAAAAAATTGACAGGCAGTGGCCCCCATCAGAAGGCAGAGATGATGAGAAGACAAGATGGCTGAGGTGATGAGAGACAAATATATGTGTCCCCAAGGCAGCTACATTAGGGAGGGTAGCCCTGCCTCCAGGGAGAGAAAGATCTAGACTTACTACCTCTCACCTCTGCACCCAGGTCGCCAGCTGGTTTTTTTCAAGACAGGATGGAGCCACGTGGTCCCTGATCCCAATAAGACCACATATGTGAGGGCCTCTGGCTGACCTGTCTGAGGGCTCAACTGACCAGCTGACCATCCCCACCGGCTGGGCTTGCCTGCGGAGGGAGTGACTTACGCTAGCAGCACTGCGTGTCACCTGGGAACCCCTGCAGACAAGACTGACATCCCAGACAGACTGAGGTGACCAGGACAACGTGCAATAATGCCAAATGTTAAAATGTGAGTTTACCAGTCTAGGTATGGGACTGCTGGCTCCAAGGCCAGGAATCATGGGGGCTAACTGCCTCTCCAACCCTCTGGGCTGCCAGCCAGGCTTCAGCTGGCCTCCCTTTGGGGCCTCTGCCACTCACTGGGACAATTCCATGGGCAGCCACATCGCTGTGTTTGTAGTGTGAGAATGTAGCCAAAGCCCTGGCTGCTGCTGCTGCTGTTGCTACAGGTGCCATGGCCTAGAGGGGCTGCGTGGGGACAATCGGTCATGGAGTGTTCTCTCATCCGAGCTCTGGACAAGAGACTTGATGGGATGCTCTAGGAAGTCAGTGATTCTATACCTGAGGAGGCCACCTCTGGCCACCTGACCGGGGGTGCTTACAGGCCAGCCCAGGGGTTGGGGCGGAGGAGCACACCATGGTATGAGCCAAGACATGAGGTCGAGGAGTAGGTTGCGGTTTGAGCCAGGACCTGGGGTGGGGGTGGGGCCGGGGCCTTTCTGCCTCATTTGCTTTCAGTGAAAGCCAAAAAACAGCCAAAACCAGCCTCTCCCCCTTCCTGGAGTTTGTATATCCAGAAGCTTTTGTATTTCTTGTTCATTAAAATGTTTATTTTTGTAAAAAAAAAAAAAAAAGAAAGAAAGAAAGAATTGATCAATTAATAAAATGACATCTCACGGCAAGGCCTCTTCCCAACAGTTTCTTGGGCTGTCTTACTCGTCCTCGGTTATACCTTTGGTGTATGTTTGTGTGGGGGGCAGCGTGTCATGGGGGGTGACCTTTGAGGGAGTGAAATTTTCATGGCACACACTGAAGTTGACAAAATGTGTTTTCAGGCCCCACTCCCATGATGCTCACCCTCCTTGGCCATCCACATCCATGTCCCAACATAAGATGCGAGGGACTCTCCTAGGAGGTTCACACTTTAATGCACACCAGCTTCTTGCATACAGAGTCTTTAAGCAAAGGAGTGATGTCCTAATGGTGGGATGTCAGCCGCCTCAGGGGACCCCACACAACCTCCAGTCAGATCAGCTTTGCCTTTGTACAGAGCTGGGCTTGGCCATCACCACCACTGCCACTGGGCACTTTTCATATGGCAAATGGAGAGAAAGAGAGGTTTAGGTAAGAACAGCCCCTCTTCCTGGGTTTTAGGAGGGAGGGTGTAGCAGGGGAGGGCCCACGTGTATGAAGCCCAGGGCAAAAAGAAAATCTAAAAGTCCAAGATCACACTGGGACAAGAGAGAGCCCCAGCATGGATGCGAGTCTCCTAACCTGAAATCCCACTTCTCTCCTGTAAACCAGTCTGCTTCTAAAATATTCTCAAAGTGTTAAAAACTTTGAAGACTTTAAAAAGAATAACCAAACTTTAACTCAGAACCCAATTTCCCCTCAATAGATGTGGTTGGTGTAGCTTGTCACATACAAGAGCTGATGTTAGGTCTGGAGTCCTCATCATGGACACCACCCAGACCCTCAAGGTTGCACCTCACCACCACCATGCCCGACCCACACACCCCACATCTTGCCTCTGGCTACCTGGGCTTGGCAATCATGGTGGTGGGGGTGGGATGGGTCAGAGCTTCCACAGAATGTCACACCATGACTTAGCCGAGACAGATGCTGTCCATATTCACCACCCTCAGTGCCTACCCCTTCACAGAGGACCTCAGCTTTCATCAGCCTCCAGACCTGTTTCCTCAGCTGAATTCATATACTACAACACGTGTGGCCCACCCTGTGTCCTCTGTTATTCTCCAACTGCCAACTAGGCTGTGGGGCTCTGAGGGCTAGAAGAAATACATCACACTGGGCCCACGAAGGTGCCACGGGGCTGGGGTAGGAAGATCTATGGGGTCTGCCGTCCAGAGGGAAACAAAGAACCTGGTCACTGAGGCTCTTGGAACTCAGTGAGGAAGGAGAAGGCTGAAGATGAACTAAGCACTGCTGTCTGATTTCTAGGAGTTTCCAGATGAAGGGTTCACTGGCCCACGGAGAGGGGCAGTGTCTGGTCTCCAGAGGTGTAATCATCATTCCAATTTCACAAACCTGAAAACTGAATCCCAGGTTCCAGCTCTAAGGGATTTAGTGAGCACTGAAATCCAGCCCTAACTGAAAAGCCTGTCCTGGAAGAGAGAATTACAGCAAGAGGAATCTAAGAGTTCACGAGCCCCCACTTACAAGAAGTGTGTGACAAACTAAAATGGAGGTCCAAAGCACAGAAACCCTTTGTAGAAAGACTCACAGGTGGCTGAAGGAATGGTAGATAGCTTCTTCCTCCATGAATGAACCTTGCCTCAGAACCTATTTCTGGGGACAAAAATGGCCAGACTCAGTCCTGCAGAGTAGAGAGGGGAGCATTTGCAGCTGGGAGGGGAGGGGTGACGGAGTGCCCTGAAAGGAAGGAGATAGTGCGTGAAAGCCTGAGGCAAAGTCATTCCTCCCCTCCGATGGCTGTTTACATGTAGCCACCTGTGTCCCTAGTAAACCTTCAGTTCCTGGGTACATTCTGTCCCCTTTCTGCGGAAGCCAGAACCATCTCCCTCCTCCCCAAAGTCCATGTTCTCTCTACTCCACTGCACAGCCAACGATACCCAGGTGTGGTTCATGAAAGAACTACATTCACCCAACTGAAACCTCAGGTGATGGTGCCAGAGGGAAGCCAGAGGTGGGCCCTTGCCAGCGCCGGGGAGGAAGGAAGCAACACAAGAGGGGCCGTGTTGCCACTGGTCCCCCACGAGTCTCTGGAGGAATTTTGGCCAGTCCTGCTTTTGCTCACTGTGTGATCTGGGTTGTGACAAGTCCCTGAGCCTCCATGTCCTCATCTGCGAATTTCATATTAATAGTATCTGCTTCACAGGAATGTTACAGGAATTGACTGGAATTATTGACATAAAGGTCTTAGCCAGTGTCAGCAAATAGTGAGTGCTTAAGAAATACTGGCTGATACTGTCATTGTTATTGTTACAAGTAAGCTGAGCCCTCAACATTCATCTGCCATCTACCACCTGGCCTGGAAGAGTATCCAGGTCTGCTGGGGAGGACCTTTCCCACACTGCACCTCAGCATCTCCAACAGGGAACGCTGCCACCGCCTGGAGGAGGTGGAGTCCAGCTCTCAGGTCAGCGCCCTGGGAGTTGAGTGTGTGGCAGACAGAAGGAGGAAGAGGATTAACATGAAAGCAGAAAATGAGATTAAGAGGCCTCAGGATAATGTGCCCACCCACCCCCATTAGGACAACAGCTTTTTGCTTTTACTCTGTGGCTTCTGGAGCCTGGAGCACATAAGGCTTGGTTGCTCCCTGCTCCTAGAGACATAGCTGGACAGAAGCATGGTAAACTAAGGCATGAGACTACTCAGTCTGCTAAGAGGGACCAGGCTTCCTTCACGTGCACTTTCTCATTTTATCCTCATGGCAGCAACGTGAGACAGGTAAATGGCCTGAAGAGGCAAGGAGCCAGGATTCAACCCTAGGTGATTGCCACTGAAAGCCTGTGTTCCTTCCTCTCTACACATTGTCTCACACAGGAGCACAGCGTCCCCCTGGAACCAAAAGATCAATGACCGACTCAAACCTACCACTTCCCTTGAGAAAAATTCCCAGACTCACAGCCCGCCTTTGACAGGAAGCCCAAAGGGCAATTGAAAAAAACCAAGTCTGCCTCTCTGGCATCACCCCATAGGGATGAGGACATCCCCAAAGAGCCCACCCTTTTTAAAGGCTCTCTTTGAGGTCTGTTGTGCAGGACTTTTATCTTGTTCATCTCTCTGTGAATTTGTGCCAGCATTGCCCCCTTGGGTAGAGAAAGTGCTTCATCAATCCCAACTCTGTGAAGGAGATAGAACACGATATTTTTTAAAAGTACCTCTCAAGCTGTAAAGGATGCCTGATGACCACACAGGGGGAAGTTTATTCTTTCGCGTCATCCCATAAACCCTCTCAGCATCCTTGTTTTAGGACTACAATCCCTTGTACTCCTGCACTATCCTACCCAGCCCCCCAACCTCCTCTCACCTACCTCCTGCTGGCCTCATTCCCATTCCAGAGATCTCTCCTGTGGTGCAGTGACAAGACCTTCCCCCTCTATCTTTCAAGGTCTCAACAGGAAATGGAGAGCATAATGAACATAAGATATATTTATAAATGTGTGGGTTCAGGGGAATCCTAAGGGATAGTGCTGTAAGCTGGGGCTAGTAGCAATAGAACTGATAGGATCTCTACTTGAGGGAAGAGAGAGAGGTCTGTTACCAGAACCCAGAAGGAGAACCCAGAAGGAGTCAAGTGACCAAAGGACACAGCCAAGCAGAGTGACCTCACAAGGTGGGAGCCAGAAGAACATACCCTCACCTCACTCTCCTCCTGCCCCTGACCCCCATCTCCTGCAGAGTTCTCCCTTGGTCAAACCTGTCTTGAAGCCAGAGGAAGTGGGATGTGAGGTCTGTAACTGTCAGGCCACGGAGACAGAAGAGGAAGAAGGAAAGAGAGTGAATGGGGTTTGTGGGGCGAGAGAAATACACCCTGCACACTGTCCCACCTCACATTTGAGTTTTTGTTGGGCTTGAGGAGAGGGCAAGACACTTTTGTGTGTGTGTGCAGTCCCATTCTTAAATGTTCAGCTACTTGATATGTTTGCATGAAGGAACATATTATGTCCACACCTTTAGGAGTCTTCTACAGCATGCATTCTCATCGGGGGCACAATCATCCCCGAGGAGACAAAACTTGGTTCTTCAGAGATGAAAAAAATCTCAGCAATCACAACAGTTAATGCCCCTCCAAAGGGCCACAGTACAAAAACAGATATACAGTATATTCTTGTCATTAAAATTTCACAGGGGTAGTGACAATTAGGGGGAAAAAAATCCACACGAGTACTTAGCAGAGTAGGGGGCAAGAATGAAAATTAGGTTAAGATGCATTATTGGATTAAAGTCACCCATAACCCTTTCTTCGGTTGTCACTGAGAGATTCAAACCTGTCACCCTCAAAGGTGCAGTTTATATTATAATTCTCTAAAATGATATTTATGTTTAGACATACTCTCTGTGCACTTCATAATAAAAGCAAAGTGCAGTTTGAATTATTTTTCATGTAGTGCTTTATTCAACCTACCCTTGACCATGATGAACATCTCGGGCCATTCCCACGCCTC